GAGGTGTCTGGCTTTGTGGCCCTTAACAATGAAGGAATGAGAAAGTGTTTTTCTAATGGGGACCTGTCCATAAGCTCTGTTGTTTCTGTACCTGCTTAAACAAAGCAGTCAGGCTCAGGATGCTGTGCTTTGATCCCCAGATCCTCAAGCCAAAAGAGACCTGCCTTAAGGCACCCTGAGTCTGAAAAAAAAAAGGAAAGAAAGAAAAAAAGAAAAGAAATCCTTTGGCTGCTTTTCCATATAAAGAACTGGGAGGCCTGATCTCCAGGTATAATATTTCTGAGTGGACTGGCGAGGTGGATATGGTGAATTTCTGGGGTAGTCAAAGGAATTTTGAACCTGAAATTCAGTTTTTCTCTGAATATGGAAACAGACTTAGGCATCAACAAGACTGGCTTTAGTGCAGGCTCTCTTCCTGCAGCAGGGTGGCTGCTTCCTCACTGTTATCATGAGACGTTTCTGTATGTGGGTGGTTGGTGGTCGGGCAGAGAGAGAGAGAGAGAGACAGAGAGAGAGAGAGACAGAGACAGAGACAGAGACAGAGACATAGAGACAGACAGACACAGAGACAGAGAGACAGAGACAGAGAGACAGAGACAGAGAGACAGAGAGATAGAGAGACAGAGACATAGAGACAGACAGACACAGAGAGAGACAGAGACATAGAGACAGACAGACACAGAGACAGAGACAGAGACAGAGAGACAGAGACAAAGAGACAGAGAGACAGAGACAGAGAGACAGAGACAGGCAGGAGAAATCTTTGGTGTCTCTTCCTCTTTATATACATTTCTGTTCTTAGCATTATAACCTCATTTTATCTTAATTACTTCCCTTTAGGGCTTTGTTGCTAAATGCATATAGTCATCTTGGAGATTGCCTCAATAGTGGCATTTGGGGCAGATAGCAGGGTCACAGTTCAGCGCATGGTTATGTTTGTTGTCTTTCTTCTTGATGGAATGTGTGCTACATGTAGACAGAGATCTTTGTGTAGTTATGTATCTCAAGTGCCTAGAATAATATCTAATGTGTTGTATTCAAGAAGTATTTTTAATATATAAATGAAAGAACTATTTGTAGAATTTTAACAGGGCCAGAGTTCAAGCTGTTGCAGAAAAACTGATATCAAGGCAAAGCAGTTAGAAGGCACTGAGGAATTAGAAGGCAATTTTTATTATGATAGCAGGCTGGTGGGCATCAGTTCCAACTCACCAGCCACCTAACTCAGCTTAGAGTCTACATTAAATAAAATTTGTATTTAAACTAAAGCAGGAAGTACAAGCTGATGGAAGATTATTACATGATTGGTTACACATAATGAGTCAAATGTCATCCAGCAAATAGATTTACTTAAAGTGAATTTTTTATTATAAGGTACGAACACCCTGGGAAAGAGGGGAGGGGTATTAGTGGAGCAAGGGATCCCTGACTGGACCAGTCTGTCCCAGATGTGAAGTCCTTGAAGCAAGCTGGAAACAACACATATTTTTCTAATTATGTAAAAACACAAGCTGGACACAGTCAAGTTGGCCCACTGCATTATAAAAAAAAAAAAAACAAAAACAAAAAAACAAAAACCAGTCAAGGCTGACTGAATTTAGCAGGCTAACAATGTGGCCCTCAGCAGGAACGCAGTCATAGGCCATTAGCTGATTTTTTAACTTTTGCTATAAAATACCTATTAGTTTGCTATTCTGTAATTTTGCCCTTAAAAACCTGCTTGCAGTCAAACTTGGGATAAGTGTGAATTTACCTTCTGCTTAACTCCTCAGAGAAGTAAAGTTTTATCTCTGTCAGGTTTTCAGTCCAAGATTGGCTGGCTGCAGCCACAGAAACTAATATTGCAAAGTGTCTGAGTGCACGCGTGTAGCTATAACAGAGAACCACAGACTGGATAGTACACAATGAATAGAAATTTACTGGCTGTGCTTCTGGAGGTTGCAAAGTCCAAGACTGAGCAGAGGCATCTGGCCGGGGCTTTCTTGTTCAGTCAACCTACAGCAGAAGGGTAAAGAGAAGACAAAGGAGAGAGTGCAGTGGAGCTGAACCTGTCTTTCATCAGGATTATGTGCTACAGCAGCATTGATGCTTTCATCTTGGCTCACTGTCACCCTTGACCCAAAAACCTCCCACTGAGATCCATCTCCAACAATGCCACATCAGGGGTCAGGTTTCCAACTTATGAACTTCAGAGGTCACATTCAAATCCATGTAAAAAGAAACAACGTTGAATTTATTTTTCTGTCAGTCAGCTTTCCATTACTGTGACAAAATACCCGTGATAATCAACTGAAAATGCGGAAATATTTATTATGACTGGTAGTTTTGGAGATTTGGCCCGTGCTCACTTGGCCCATTGCCTTTGGGAACTTCACACCTACTCGTGGCTGGCAAGCAGAGACTCAGGAAGGGACCTAAATCCCCAAATCCCTATAATGGATGTGCCTTTTCTAGCTGTTAGGCTAACCTGTAAAGATTCCACTGTCTTTTGGTAGTGCCACGGGTTGACACTAAAAACTTTAGCACATGGCTTTTTGAGGGACACTCAAGGAAACTAAATCAGTTAAGGAAAACAGGAATGGGAAGTTGTTTTATTTTTTTGAGTCTAACAACTTTTCGATCTATTTTTAGTCTAGTAGATTACACACAGGTCTAATTGTGAGTGGTTGCAGGAGAGTGTGTTCTATTAGACGGGCACACATCATTCATACATCCTAGTTCGCTGTTGTGATCTAGAGAACCATTAGGGTACCTGATTGTTCCTCCAACAGGTGTGAGTACTATCAGGTTCCAGTTCTTCTAAAGGGGCACAACTTTGGACAAACCTTCAAAATAAAAAGAGAGTCAAAATAAAATACAAACAAGAAAAAGAGAGGCAACACACAAACAAATACTAGCACTGGTGAGGCTGAGGCAGGAAGATTACCATGAATTCAACGCCAGGCTGGACTACATGGTGAGTCCAGGCCAGTCTAACCTAAATAGCATGACCCTGTTTCCTGTCTCAAAAAGAAGAAGAAGAAGGGGAAGAAGAAGAGGAAGAGGAGGAGGAGGAGGAAGAGGAAGGAGGAGGAGGAAGAGGAGGAAGAGGAGGAGGAGGGGAAGAGGCACAAGAGAGCTTGATCCCCAGCACTACATGGAACTCAGGAACCAAACTGGCCAATGAGACCTGATGTGGTGACATATGCCTATAATTCCAGTGTTCAGGAGGCTGAGACAGGAGGATCACTATGAGTCTGAGCTGCACAGTGAGACCCTGTACCAAATACATGAAAAAGAAAAAATGAGGCCAGCCAAATAGCTCAGGGGATTCAAGTGCCTACAAGCAGACACAGAGGCTGGGGGTTCGATCCCCAGGCCTGCTGTGCCAGCCTCACCTGTAGGGTGCCCTGAAATGGCAACTGACACTGGGCATGGTGGCGTGCGCCTATAATCCCAGCACTTGGGAGGCTGTAAACAGGCAGATCACTATGAGTCCGATCTAGTACTGAGACCCTGAACACCCTATAGACCCTACCCTAAAATATAAAACAAATTTAAAAAGAAAGAAAAAAGAAAAAAAGCACAAAATAAAAAGGGGATCAACTTTCAAAATATTCCAAGGAAACGTGTAAGTACAAATGCATAAGTAAAAATGTTTTCACTTGCATTTGATATATCACATGTTTTTCAGCCTGCAGCATGTGTTAGATCTCTCTGCAAGGCTTATTAACATGGATATCTGTGTCAGTTGGCCTTTGTCAGGGCCCAAGATTTGCCTTTCCAGCAAGTTCCCAGACAGTGCTAGACTTGATGCTGCGAAGACGAAGGGAGAAGTGGTGCATTGTGCCACCAGCAGCCAAAGGAATTGTGCATGATGGCTTTCTTTATCCTGGCAAATGAATTTAAGAAGCTCAGCTTCTGTTTCATCCCTGCCTAGGCAGAAAAATTCTTGATAAATACCTTTCTCCAAGGTTGACAAACCGACCTCTACAATCTGGAGTTTCGCCTGTGCTGTGTAACTTCCTGATGTCAGTCAGAGGTATCTGGTGCTATTTCCAGTTTTCTCCCTGTCTATGTGTGTGACAGTCCCTTTGTGTTTAAAAGTGTTTTATTTGCAAAGGTTCTCTGCAGAAGCATAATCAGTATAATGATATAAGTGAGGATTTATTAGATTCCTTTACATAGAGCCTGAATAGTTTCCCAAAAACCATCTGCAGTTTGGAGAGGTAGGAAAATCAGAAGCCACCCAGGCCAAGAAGCTGGAAACCTGCTGACTATTCCTGTCTCTGCCTCTGCCTGCCTCCACCTGCCTCCGTCTCTGCCTCTGCCTGCCTCCGCCTGCCTCCGCCTGCCTCCGCCTGCCTCCGCCTGCCTCTGCCTCTGCCTCTGCCTCTGCCTGCCTCTGCCTGCCTCTGCCTCTGCCTCTGCCTGCTTCTGCCTCTGCCTCTGCCTGCCTCTGCCTGCTTCTGCCTGCCTCTGCCTGCCTCTGCCTGCCTCTGCCTCTGCCTGCCTCTGCCTGCCTCTGCCTGCCTCTGCCTCTGCCTCTGCCTCTGCCTCTGCCTCTGCCTCTGCCTGCCTCTGCCTCTGCCTCTGCCTGCCTCTGCCTTTCTATCTAGTACCAGAACTGGAGCTTTGACATTGCATGATGCATTCTAAAATCCTTGCCCTGTAGATGTTGACTGTTCTGTATAGCTTCTGTGGGCCATACGAGTTATAAGGATGAAGTTGAATTTTCATGGTATATTGAGGAAAGCTGCTTCAGAAACATATCTTCTGAGGGCTCCTCTGTTTCTTCCTGAGTAATACAGTCCATCCTGCAGCATCTCCAGGCCTGCTCGGTCAGGGAGCACAGGATGAGCACTGCAGGGGAGGCCATCCCTTCACTCTGACTCACCGCTCAGGCTTGCTTGCCTCTTATGCAAGAGTCACTTCTCTGGAAAGAGTCCTAGAATTTCACTCTCCTGTTCTAGTTTGTGTTTGATGAGTCAACCGCTGGGAAACAAAATAGAAACAGAAACCAGACTTGCTGTTATATATGGGTTTCCAGCATTTACTGGAAGCAGAGGAGAAAGTTTCCTGAAAAGCACAGCTGCCTGAATGCCTGCAGCCTTTAGGCACAGCTGAGAACTATACTGCAATCATGAGGTAAAACTTCTCCTCTCTCTAGTTATGCTGAAAAATGTAGAATGATCATGCTTGGAGTGCCTGTCATTCTGGCCTTCTGAATACGGACTGCTTGTCATGACATGCCAGTTGCTGCTGTGCTGTCTCTTGGGTAGATGACTGTTCAGAAAGAAGGGGGTGGTGAATGAAGGCAGGAGACAGGAAAAGGAATGTTGTGGGACTGTTCTGCTTCAAGGTTGTATATGGTGAGATTTTTAGACTTATGTGTAAACATAAGAAGTATATAATACTTTATGCCTATTTTTAAAAATATATTCTAATTTTTAAATGTTTTTTCATCATTCTGCAGGGACTTAAAGTTCAATATATCAATACTTGATGAAAAATACCTGTTCCATGTTATGCCTAAGATGTTTGATATTCAGATAGTGAGGTTAAGCTTAACAGCCTAAATTGTATGGTAATAACAATAAGCTTTTCTTCTGGATGGTTAACAACCTAAGTTTGCAGACCAAAACTAGAGAAAAAGGAGGGCCACAAGAAAAAGCCAACATTTTGGCCCTAGCCTTCCAAGGTCAATTAAGACTCAGGACATATGAGAACTTGTACTGTAACGTCATGTAACTCGGTAGTGTCTCAAATTTTCTGATCAAGGAGATTATGGGGCCAAAGAGGAAAGTGATTGATGATGTAGGGTGTGCCTAAGGAGAGTCACATGGAGAGAAAACATTCTCTCAGGCTTTCACAGAGAGCACATAGGCCAAGCAATGGCCACGACTCATCCACATGGCTGACACTGACAAAGGTTCTACACTCTGAGGTACAGGATCTCAGGATAAATCCTGAGGGGATTTCATTGACCTTATCAGACCCAAAAGCTACAACTCTTGTTGCATACGTCCTGCTTTACCTTGGCCTTAACCATCCAGCAGAAAAGTATAAAAACGAAATATAAGAAGTAAAGCCATGCTGTTATGTTGAGCTGTAGGGGACTCAGGTCAACAATTTCTGACTTTGCCAGTGAAGTGGAAGACCCAATACTATGACAGACTACTGGACTCTTTTAGAATATTTTGCTGAGTTTACACACTTATAATATTCAAATAACGGAACTTAACAAAAGAAGGGGATACAGACGAATGTCCATTTTGTATCTGTGTATTCAAAGTGGTTAGGATAGATATATAGTTACATTCTCTTAATGAATAGAGGGATTTGTTCTAATAGTGTTTGTA